TTTAATCTTCAAAGCATCATTTATATTGAAAATTATATATCAACATATACTTCGGGGATAATTATGCTCAAGGAAGAGTGGCAGATAAAAATAAAATGATCATGCTACTTCAAAGACTAATATTAGTAAGAATCTTTTAGAGTTTTTCAAACTAAGCAGTGAGATTTTGTTTCAACCTATATATAGCCTTTCAAAGCTTGTATATTTTATTTTTCATCTAAGCAATAGTCTCTGTAGGTTGCTCCTTGTAAATAGTTTTAGATAGATCCCTATAGATAAAAACATTGCTAACATCTATTGAGCAAGGCCCATATTTGGTTAATGATAAAGAAGAAGAAGAAGAAGAAGAAGAAGAACGCAATTAAGTCAAATGATGGGAAGGAAAGCTTCAATTTTATTGATGCCATGGATATTTGCATATCCTTCAACTATCAGTCAAGCGTTGTAGTGGTTAAGAGATTCCTCTCGATGGAACTAAAGTGTGAAAACCGAACAATATGAAATGAGTAGTACCCAAAAAGGGGATGGAAGGACGATGTGGATTTGAGTGTTGAAATGCTGGTGGATGCCTAGTTGTAGTGATGGAAGGAGGCATTTTAGGAGGAGACAATAAGTTGATGAGTAAAACCTATAAGGGATGAGGAGTAGGCGGAACATTAGCAGAGGATGCAACATTGAAGTATAAGTTTAGTAGGGGATCTGTGGGCTCCGAAAATTCGGCCCCGGCCTCCCCGCCTTTCTTTTTATTCGGCGAGGGAGTTTTAACGAACTAAGTTCCGGGTTAAATTTTGGAAGGCAGATGGGTTTGTAGATAAGACACTACCCAGAGATTTCGCCCTCATTTGGTGAGGACTTTATGATCTGAGTTCTGGTTTCCTATAGGCGCAAGCCCCTATAGTTAAAGTATGGGTTTAGTAGGGGATCCCTGTTGAAATCTAGCATCGAGAAAGACATAAAGTTGAGTGTAGATGTATTTTGATGTTGATAACTTTTATATGCATGATAATAGGCCAGAAATATATCTATAAACCCTAAACCCTAAATTTTTGGAGGGGGCACTAATTGAATATCTATGTGAAAATTATGTTTATAAGCTAAGTTATATAATCTATGAATACATCTAAATTTTAGAAGGGGCTTATATTCAAGAGTATTATTGATATGAACAATTTCAATTTGTGTAAAAAAAATGGATTTTTATCTCTTGATAAAGTTGCTTGAATAAATAGAAAATTTATGGCTGGCACTTTGCCAAATAAACCTAAGTAGCATGATGTCATGAAATGAAATAATGGAAGTCCAAATGAATTGACATAGACAAGAGTGTTTAGATGTATGAAAGGAGATTTGATGGGGTTTGCAAAACTCAAAAGCTTCATATTCAAAATGGAAAACAGAGGTATGAACATAGTTAAAATCTCAAAGGTGGTTTGAGGGAGGATGGCTGATGTAGGCAAGGGGGGGTCAGATCTAACCCAAAATAAGTTGGTTTTGACTTCCCTTGAGCTTATCATGGATGCACCTACGTACAGAAAAGTATATGAAGAAAAAGCAGCGTTTACAAGATAAATTATTGAGAGAACGAGATGAGATCATGCATAAATATGAAGATTTGATCAATGAATTAGATGCACCATCTTCACCTCCTCAAAAGAAATCAAAGTTAACTCATCGGGAGATGAGTTCTCAAGAAGGGGAATCTGATGCAGGCAAATGGGGGGTCAACTCTAACCCAAAGTAAGTTGGTTTTGACTTCCCTTGAGCTTACTAGCTCAATCAATTTTGAGCTGAGATTTAGCTCATTTATGAGCTGGTCTTTAGTTCATTTATTGAACTAAGGGTTAGCTCATTATTAGCTAAGTTTTTAATTCATAGTTATATTTTAAGTAATGTAATTTTATTATAGTTTTTTATGTCTTAATTTAAGTTGTCCATTGGGATTCCAAAATAACTTTTGGAATCCCAAGGAAGTTTGTTCTCCCATGCCGTGGCTCCTTGGCTTCCACGGTTGGCTGCTGCTTTTCGTGCATGGCTCCTGGGTTCTCACGGTGGCTGCTGGTTTTCCGAATTGGGGGGCCTTCCCGTGGCTTTTGGCGCCTCGGTTCCGTGCGGCCTCTTGGGTTCCCGTGGTTGCTTCTTGGTTTCCTGGGCTGGGCTGTTTTGCCGTGAAAAAGTAAGGGGACTTTTCCATGGCTTGTGTTGTTTGGATTCCTATGGGAATTAAATGTTGTGTCCGTTTGTATTCCCCCTTTCATACCTATAAATATGAGGGGTTATGTAATGTTTTAAGATAGTGAAATATGAATTTTTGAAAAGAAATATGCGGATTTTCTTGGAGAAGCTTGCGAGCTTTGTCCACCTTCTTCTTCCACCTCCTTTGGAAATCTTGAGAGCTCTTTCCACCCTTCTTCTTGGCTTCTAACCTCTTTCGTCTCTCCGCAAGTGACCATCCCATCTGTATCCTTCGTCTCTAAGTGAAGCAAGTTTAGGGTGTCGTACTATTAGATTCAAGTTTGTAAGTTGTTTAATTTTAATCTGTGTTGTTTGTTTTTTAATTTCTAAGTTTGTTTTAGATTTGAAATGTAAGAATTTGTTCGTCTTATTACGTAGGAGTTTCTTATTTTCGTTACCTTCGTGGGCAGAGGTCCTCGGTCCCCCATCCCCCGGATTTTTTGACCGCATCAATGGCCTAGACAAACAGTACAATTGATAAGATGAGATAGTAGAGGAGAAGATAGTGGCATTTGTATCAGTGAGATAGTAAATTCCTCCAACTTCAATGGCTCCTCAAATTGCTTCTTTGTGTTGTATATTGAAAACACAATATGAAAGACGAAGATTAGAAAGTAATTATGAGATTTGATAACAACAATATATAAACATAGATTTACTTAAGATTATGGAGTATAATAAATTATTAATTAAAGTCCAAGAGGAAGAGGGATTGATAAATCATTTTTAACAAGTGGAAATGGAAATCTATCAACAATGATAACATGTGGGATGAATGCCGTGGTAAGTGGTGAGAATGGTTATCATTTACTTGTGGTTGAACTTGAAAAGGAAAGAATTTCAAAGGTTGAAGTAGTCAACTGTGAATGTTGGAATAGTAGATAATATTCTTGGAAAAAGGACTAAATTGGAATGTTTACCAGTATAATTAGTAGGAGCAGTGTTGGAGATATGTTGAATTGATGTAGGATAGTAAAAAATTTGATAATAACTATGAGATGAGTGATTGGTTCTTTGACAATACTAATAATGTGAAAAAGAGTTGGGACCATTATTCTGGCCACCACCACTAATTATGTCCATGATTGGCACACTAACCCTTGCGTGCAATTTGATTGTGATTAGAAGAAGGTGGAGAAGGTAACTCAGGGACCGAAATAACTTGTGAGAGAATAGTGGAGATGCCCAAGACAACTTAGTCAATTATAAATTGAGATGGAATAGATTATCGAGATTGATGGAGGTAAGTGAAACTTGACAACTAGAAACTACTTATTTTATTTCTGTCAAATAGTCTGATCAGTGCAAATGGATGATATTGAAAAAAAAAAAATACCATTTGCCTCTTAAATTATGTAGTACTATTGAATGTTTTTTTTTGTTGCTAATAGAAGATACTACAGTAGAGGGTGTGTGACCTAAAGATGCTACTGTCCCGCATTATGTGAAATAGGTAATGTCTCACATTCGTTTGGTGGTCTTTTGAAGAATGACTATTAAAAGTAATAGTAGGTTTGAGGCTATTTAAAAGCCTTCGATTTTGTGTGTTTCTGCGGTGTTCATCGGTTCGAGAGGCAGAGTTTAAATAACTAAGTTTCTCATAATATCCCAAGAGAAATTGAAAGTCCCAAGACCACAAGAGATTGTTGGTGTGATGGAGGGGGAAGAAAATTTTGCGTACTCAACTTGGATCTATTTGCATACCCTTCGATGTATAGCACTTAATTACCCACAAATAATTTCATTCATTCATTCATCAACAAAGCAATAAAATATATACATTGTGGATCTCTAGTTATAGAAAGAGGGTTACAAGGATGATATAAAAAATTTATATGTACATCTAATTCTTTCCCAAGTAAACAAAATTTCAAATTTAAACCAATTAATATCTACAAGAAGATAAAAATCTAATGAAGTCAAATAAAAAAAATTATGTGAAATTTGGCTATAATTAAATTTGGCCTAAAAAGGATTGAAAATTGACTATTTTAACTTCCTGCATACTGAAAATGGGCATTTGGGCTTTTGTGATGAAAGGTTGGTATAAGAATGATTTAGTTAATCAATAGATCAAGGTGGAGGCAGTTTGCATGGTGCTTTGAGAAAGGGCTAGTAAGCACTAGTGCAAGCGAGAGTAGCAGTTGTGAGAAACAAGCACTGGAAAGCATGAAAGCGCACTAGCGAGTGTGGGTGAATGCATGAGCTAGTTAATCGGGGCAATTAATTGAGTTAGAGCTGCAGAGAGCTAGGAAAAGAAGATAGAGATAATTGAGAGGGAACTAGGAGGGGCGCTAGTGTTTGTCAGGTGGGGCGGCCTAGAGAAAGGGTTAGCCTTGTTCCAATAACATATTGGAAATATAAGGCTTTTGTTGTATTCTCATTGACATAAGACAAGTGCCTGTATTGGCTAACATGGAGGTAAAAAAGGGGTATAATGGGGAAAAGTTTTTCAATTAAGAGGATATAATACAATATGAAATCATCTTTCTATTCTAGCAATTTCATATGATAACACTGTCTTTCCATTTTAGACCTTTCCTACGATACTAGTTATTCTAAGTGAAGGTATAGGATATTTCTTTGTTCGAACGCCCAGGCTATCAAGTGCAAACTGTTTTCATTTTGTGTTCTCAAACTTCTTTCTAAGATAAGGCTGTTAACTCAAATAGCATTTTTACATGTGAATCGGCAGTTGCAATCCATTCGCTATATAGTTAGATGTTTTATTACCATTCTGATAGTTTTTTTATTGCTATGTCTAATAGGTCTTTATACATGCTGGACTGCAAGCAAATTCAGAGACCATCAGATGCTTAGCATGTAAATCTGTAAGATATCAAAATTTTGCTGATTTATTCATTTGTTTAGCTATTAGTTCATATAAAGCAATATAGGCTTAACTTCATAAATTGGTCTCCATGTAGAAAATTTTAAGCTTCAAAGAAATGCTATCCTTCTTCCTCCCTTTTCTAGTACTATATATTGGGTAAACCCTATAGCACAAACAGCATTCAAGGTCAAAATTGTCTTCTTAAACAGAAATTTCACTTCTCTTGACTTCTATCCTTAGTTCTTCACCTAGCATAGTACGCAACTGTTGGGAGATCATTTTTGGCAGATTGATTAATCTCCCTGAGTACTGCTATCCTGCCCAACTTCGTGATAAAAAAGGTCTCCAACTGGTGTGATGCTGTTGCCCTGTTTTCTAGCGGGGTGCAGTGCTGATGCATTTATGCGTCACTATCATTCCTGGATGGAGACCTTTATTCACATGTGAAGTATTTTTCTATTTCCTTTGACCTTAGTTATTCTGACAAAGCCGTCCTTTATTATTGTTCAAACACATTTTGTTGCAAAATTAAGTTCTTATAATCAGATTTCCCATTATTATTTTATTATTTTATTTTTTGTGTTTCAACTAAAAAAATAAAGATGAAGAAATTGATTTTTCAATTGATAATTTAACTGTTGATTCTTGTCCTGTACATTTACGAAGCTTCTAATCTCCTTATTGAATCTCTACCTGAATTTCTTTCTTGTTTTGTTTCACAACTCCACACACCACAAAAGCATTTATGGAACCACAACGGACAAAGAATTTGACACAGTTTTGTTCACTGATGGGCATTATGGCTAGTCTTATCGAAGCGCATTAAGAAATAGCAGTAGTTGAGAGCATTTTTCAAGAATGAAGAATCTTTCATTGTTATACATATATATGCATATATGCTTAAAACACAGGTAAAATGAAAAATTGTGCAAGCATCATTCAAAAAAAAAAAAGAAAAAAAGAAAAAAGAAAAATTGAGAGGTTAATCTATAGACAACAGATCAAGTGATATCTGGAGATCAATAGTTTGGGAAATCAGTCATGGTGTTTGGACTTATATGGAACTACTTGTTGGTGAAGGTTAAAACTTTGGCGAATAGATGATGGGAGAGCTCTCTTCCAACTCAATTTCTTTTACCCGTGCTATCTGAGGGTTCCTTTGGGAAGGCTTTGGATTCTGTCTGCTGTTTGCTGCTTGTTTTTGCGCCTAATGTGGTATTAAGAATTGGTGGCACAACGGAATATCTTAACTGCAAGTCGAATATATGCAACCTTATTCTAAGCTTATGTCAAAGGCATGATGATGAAAGAAAGCATGTAATCCAAATGATACATTTTTCCCCCTTTGTATTACACTGGAAGTCATTCTTTGCTTTGTGCGGATAGGTAATCTACTTAGGTTAACCATAGAAAGAGAAAACATCTTTCCAAGAAAATAGAAGGTACCGAGACTTCCCATCATCTTGGGGACTGGGGAATGAATATTCTTACTCAAAAGGCAGTTAAGACAAATCATAGATGATATTATAATCATGATTGCCTTGTCAGAAATAGATGATAGACCACATATGCATCAAATACCAATTCAATTGCTGTGGTGGAACACGGCTTTGAACTGCTGTTCTATGGTGTCCCATGTCAGTCCCTTAATAGGATTATGCGAAGCCCTCTTTTGAGCCTTAGCTGCAGTGGCAGAGAAGGATCAAATTGTTGAGAGAAGAAAAGATGAGAAAACTATGATATAAGTTTTTGATGATTTACTAAGAAATCAAAGCTTATTTAGAAACAATTGGTGCTTTATTATTAGGAATTTCTTCCCATTTCTGGATATTGTCTGTGGTAGATACAAAACTCTCCTTTGAACCTTATCTAGAGTGGAAGGGAGGAAAAGTCAGAAGGATCAAACAGCAACCTCAAAAGAAAAAGAAACAAAAAGAACAATGCTTTTTGCTTGGATAAAAGAAGTCCCTATGATGTAATTTCCGACAGTTTGGAAAATAATGCTTACTGATAGCAGGAGAAACCAAAACTGAAAATTTCACTGTTAATCACTTCCTATTACACCAATGGATATCTGGTCAGTACAATATTTCTTTCTCTTCTCTTCTTCTCACCCAGATATCCATTTTCAATGCCTCATGAATAACTACTTGAAGGATACGTTGATACTTGCCACTGTATTTGGATTAGCAAACGATTTGGTATGATGAGCAGTGACTTGCCAAAAAAGGTGATTATTGACTATCTAGATTGCATTTCATCAAATTCATTCTTTTATATATATATATATATATATATTCTCAAGATTATACTGAGTTGCATTTATGGCTTGAAAAATATTTTTGGATTGAGTTTCATTAGTTTTCAAACTTTAATTATTCATTAAATTTGTTAATGATCTTAGAATGATATAATGACCCATACAAACCCACATTTAAAGTCTGCTTTGTGCATGTTTTTCACTAATAAAAATTATGAAATACATTATGTATGTTATGCAGAACCCATGTACTCCATCCTAGGTCATTTGAAGGGCTACACATTTAACGTCATCACTATCTTTTCATGCAATTAAAATCATTCATTGATAAAATATTTTGATGATTTAATTGATTATCAAATGATCTTAAAAGGTATTAAATCATATGTGCCAATAGTTGTATTGAAATTAATGAGTGGATGGTTTTGATCTTAAATTTAAGGGTTTTAATATGTAAATCTGCATGAAAGGTGGATGCCCATTTTCCTCTCGAGAGGAGGGAAGCTCGTTCACAATATATTAATATGTGAAACATTAAATGAGCCATAAACTAAAAAAATATTAGAAGACATAATATATTTTAGCATTAACACTTTAATCTTAAGGGTGGCTTACTCAACTTTTTAATATTATTTTGAAGATTAAAAAGATGCCGGATGATTGGAGGAGCGTTGGTTCCTTTTTTTAAGAATAAATGTGATGCAAAAAAGTGCAAATTATGGAGGGATTAAGTTAATGTTTCATACATTAAAACTATGGGAGAGAATAATTGAGCATATGTTTTAACGAGATATTGATATTTCTCAAAATCAGTTTGAATTCATCCCGTGTAGGTTTGTTATGGAAGCTATACATTTATTGAGAGGTTTGATGGAGAATATATAGAGGATAAGGAGGATCTACTTATATTTATTGATTTAGAGAAATCCTATGATAAAGTTCTAAGAGAGTGCTTTGAGAAGTTCTAGAAAAGACCGAGTTAATAATTTGTGTATTCAAGTCATTAATGATATGTATATTTGAGTTGTTACCTGTGTTTAAACACAAGGTGGTTTGACTAAGTATTTTCCTATTTCAGTTGGATTACATCAACGATTAGCTTTAAGCTCGTATCTTTTTTGCTTTAGTCATGGGTATTCTTACTAAATATTTGCAAGAGGATGGACCTTGGTGCATGCTTTTTACTGTTGATATTCTTCTTGTTGATAAAATTAAAGAGGGAGTTGAAGGAAAACTTGAATTATGGAGTTCAACCTTAGAGCTTAAAAGTTTTCGTTTGAGTAGATCTAAAACCGAATACATAGTGTAATTTTAATATTAATAGATTTAGAGGGGAATTCTAAATTTGGGTAATCAAGTCATTAAAAAGAGTATATGTTTTAGATAACTCAGGTCTATTGTTTAAAGTGACGGTGAAATAGATGGGGATATTATTAGTAGAATTTAAGTTGGATTGTTGAAGTGGAAGAATGCATTAGGTCTATTGTGTGATAGAAAAATAACCCTCAAAGTTAAAGGAAAATTCTATTAGATGGTGGTGAGACTTGCAATGCTTTATGGCACAGAATGTTGATCATTAAAAGAGAAACATAAAATAAAGTGTTGCAGAGATGAGGATGCTCGGGTGGATGAGTGGCTTTACTCTTAGAGATAAAATATGAAATGAGTATATACATGAAATGATTGGCATAGATCAAACGACATATACGATTAGAGAGAGCCGCCTTAGATGGTTTGGTCACATAAAATATTAGTTTTCTAATGACCCGGTTAGGAGAGTATATGTATTAGATTTGGCCTTGAGGGAAGAGATTCTTGCTTTTGGAAAAATCATCACCGCCTCTTATCCATCCAAAAAATGGAAGCAGGACTAGAAAAATCATATGATGGGAAAAAAATAAAAACTGTGGGAGTACTAAAAGGGGAAGCATTGATTTTTTTTTTTAAAAAGAGGGGAGGGGGGGAGAGCATTGATGCCACAACAGAATTAGGGAAACATCTTGAATGTATTGAACTTGCAATCTAATGTGATTTCTGGAGGAAAACTGATGTTAGAAAGTGTACAAGGCATTCACAAGTTGATATAGCTGTTCAATGCCCAATGCTCAGTCACTTTCATATGCTCTTACCTCAGAGAGAAGTGAATCGCTTAAATGGAAATAACTATTTCACTTAACGGATGCAGTCAAAGATGAGGAATATTTTGAAGAGTATTATTGGAATTCATCGCATAAAACATGTTAGGCAAATACTGAATTTTCAACTTTCATTGCATCTAAGGTTCAAAATTTTACTAAATAAATTATTTTATATAAATTACTAAGACATGCTCAAGTAACTTAAAACAATTCCTATAGGGTAAAAGAATATCTGCTACTATCCATTCCAACTTTATTGTCATCCATGCTCATTACTTATTGGATCTGCACTTCTTTGTATAAGAGGGCCATAGATGTTCTTGAGTTAGTAATAAATTTATGGCAGATATCTTTCATTATTGAAAACATGGAGGACAAAGCTTCTACTGTGAGGATCCTTGTTGAGAGTAATGCATATGCGCTCCTGATAAAATGTCTACTTGTTGGGTATGTTTATTCTTCAGCTATTCTGTAATATTGTATTTTCCTATAAATGCTTTTTGGTTGATCTTGAGTTCGTCCTTTCTCTTTTTTTTTTTTGTTTAGTTTGAAATTGAACCATGCTGACAATTCTGTCTCTTACAAAGAAAGCTTATTTCTTGGCCAACCTTCACTGTTACGTTCTGGCCTTTTTTATGTTGTTTTATTCGTACTGTTTGTCTTCTTTGTTATCAAATTTCCTATATCATAATTTTTGGGTTTGATCCTGGGTTAAAGTAGATCAGCTAGCTCAATTTCTTGACCAAATGTTTCCCCAGAATTTCAAAAGAAAATGGTTGACGTGATTCTCTTTTTACAGTCTTTTTATATAACTGCCCCACAATTTCTATAATTATGATGCCCCTTGAGGTAAGGGGTAAAGCTCAAGAAAATAAGTGACAAAAAATGGAGGATTTTGTTAGACCGGTCCAAGAGGGGCCGGAGTAATTCCCACCCCCTTTGGCATGGGCAAGGGGAAAGGGGAAGGAAATTCCGGAAGACGATGATGAATTAGAGTGTTTTCCCTCATGGAGAACCATGAGGGGCTTCGATGGTGGATGGATCGGGGTATTCCGAAGAGCAACAAGAGGGGGGGGGGAATCCTTTGGGAGACCACCTAGGCATGGTGATAGGTGGACCGGAGGAGGTAATGGCTAGGCATGGGGTCCAAATCAACCAAGGGAGGGAGAGAATTGCACAACTATTATACAGGAGGAACTAACAGAGAGAGAAGTCATTGGGGTATCGATGCGAGATCAAGGAAGCTAACGAGGCCAATTTTTGAAGGGGAAGATGCTTAGGGTTGGGTGTATCAGGTGGAGTGTTACTTTGCTATTAACTGGCTGATGGAAGGGGAAAAGCTCATGGTGGTAGGGTTATGTTTGCAGGAAAAAAGCCCTAGCTTGGTTTCAATGGAGGGAGGCTCGGTAATCTGATCTATTCATGAGGGAATTTTATGAGTGTTTGTTGGAACATTTTTGAGCAATTCGAGAAGGAGGCCTCCACGAGTAGTTCTGCTAATGAGGACATTAGGACATGGAAAGTTTATCAGCGGCGTGGCCGTCGATCTACGACTACGATTACACCGCTCTACTTTTGATTTTCATATTTATTATTGATGTATTAGTTTTGTTTATGAAGTTTTATTATGCTTTTTCACTTTTGCCCTTAAGGGTTTAGGCATGTGTAAGCCCTAGGGGCATAGTAGTACTTTGTATTTTCTCATTGTATGGGTTATTTAAAGCCTTCCCCTCCTTTGAGGGTTAATGAATGATAATTAAAAAAATTATTGCAACTCTTTGTTTTGAGAGCTTGAGAGCTTTGGAGAGAGCCCTTGGAGAGGGAACCGGATCACCCATTAACCTTGGAAGCGTCCGGGTTCATGGCCTTCATTTTCTTTCTTCCTTTTCGTTTCGTTTCTCCCTTCCCCTTCCTCCTAGCCATCGGTCTAGGGCTTCCTAATCCCTTAGCCGCCGACCCTAAGAAAATTCCCCCTTGCTGCCGGCCAAATCCACCCCATCTACCCATCTCCCTTCACACCCAACCAACCTCCCTCTCCCACCACCAAATCTTCAAACTACAAACCCTAAACCTAGTCCTAGCTGCCGGCCAACCCATCTCCCTCTTTGCTTCCAAAATTCAAATCCCCCCATTACTTCTTTCCTTTTCCCGACAAACTACTTTGGGAAAGCTTTCAATCCAATCAAACAATCAAAGTTTGAAATTTGAATTATTTCATAAAATAGAGTTCTATTTTAGGAAATTTTTCCAATCAAATCCATATCAAATTTGAATTGGATTGGAATTAATTTCCCCTCCTTAATTTGGAGTTCCCAAAGAGGCAAGCACTAAAGGCCTTTCCTCTATCCCCTCCCCCCCTCTTGAAGTCGCCGGTCCCATGCTTTCTCCCCCATTTATTTTCTGTCCAAACTTGGACTCCAATCAAAGGAATTAATTCCTTAATTCCCTCCTTTTCCCTCTCCCCTCTCTACCCGCCACCCACATCAAACCTAGCCTCCAAAACCTGCTCTACTGTTGTCTAGAAATTCTGCAAAGGCTGTCACAGAGATTCCAGCTGTCCATCTTGCTGTCCAACTGCTTGGAGGAGTCTCCATTTGCTGCCCGAGGTTTTTTGGACATAGAGGTGTGCTGTCCAAAGTTTCCTACAACCACCATATGCTGTCCAAGCTTGCGGGAAGGTTTATTCTTGGCAAAGGATGAACTCTTTCCTTCTCTCATATCTTCCCCGTCGATCATTGTGGTTTTCATTAATTCATGTAAAATCTTGCAACGCTTCGCTAAAGCTTAGTGTTTAATAGAATTATGTGAGGGATCTTTCATAGTATTAATCTTATTGTTAAATTAGAGATTTCTTGTTGAAACCTATCTTATATGCAACGTTAAGAGTAATTGGTTGTTTTGTGGATTATACTTTTAGCAAGTTAAACCTTGGCAAGCCAGTGCTTATCGCTCTTTGTGTTTTAATTCATTGTTTGAATCACCATCAAGATTTAATTAATTTGCTTTTAATCATTAAGCGTACAAAATCCTTATCTAAATCATAATCTCATATATGTCCCGCATCATCTATGCCTTAACTTAAGAGGGGACAATAATGGAGTATTGGGAAAAGTTTAAGCTACTGTCGAGAAGACTGTGAGGAATTTTTGAGGCAGGATTTGAAGGGAATTTCATGAAGGGGCTTTGGGAGGACATACATGCAGAGTTCAAGGTGTTGAGACCTAGAAGGCTGAGGGAAACAATGGAGCTTGCTTAGAGGGTGGAAGAAAAATATTGGAGGGAGAAGGCCAGTTGGAGCAACACCATGAGAGGGGCTTACAAGAATACCTCTGAAGTAGCGATGGTGCATGATAGGTGGGCAAAAAGATTATGTTCCATATGTCATGAGAGCTATATACTGGGCACATGTGTAAGGATCGAACTCTTTAGGTTCTTACCATCTGTGATGAGGAAGCTGAGTAGGGTGGTGGGAGTGAGGTATTGGTGGAGGAAGTGGGATATTTAGATGTGGCAGAGGTCTCTTTGAACTTAGTAGTTGGATTCACTTCAAATCACACCATGAAAGTGAGAGGAGAAATAACAAGCATGGAGGTATTGGTGTTGATAGATAGTGAGGCTACCCACAATTTCATCTCCAACTAGGTCACAGATCAATTGGAGGTGAAATTGGTGGACATAGGGTACTATGGGGTGATGATGGGCTCAGGGAAGGTGGAGACTAGTAGAGGAGTGTGTAAGGGGATGGTTCAGACCATACAGAGGGTCTAGGTGAGGGAGGACTTCCTTCCATTAGTGCTAGTGAGTACTGATATCATTCTGGGGATGAAATGGTTACAGAAGTTGGGGGATACTAAGGTCAATTGGGAAGCACTAACGACGAAGCTGCTGATGGAAGGAAGAAGGGTAGTGATTAAGGGAGATGCAAGATTATCCAAAGCCATGTTGTTTCTCAAAACCATGGCGAGGACCATACAAGAGGTGGAAGGAGAATTTCTAGCAGCTTTGTAGAGCTTAGAGGGGATCATATTGAAGGAAGGGGGAGACATTCCTTTTTCAGTACAACCGCTTATACATCAGTTCAATGAGGTCTTTCAACCACCTTAAGGATTGCCATTACCAAGGGAGCAGGAGCACGCCATCACATTGAGGGAGGGGGTGTCATCGATTAGTATCCGACCTTATCGCTACCCTTAGATTCAGAAAGATGAGATTGAGAAGCTGATCTAGAAGATGTTGGAGACAAAGATCATCAGGCCAAGTGTGAGTCCTTTTAGCCCAATCTTATTGGTCAAGAAGAAGGATAAGAGTTGGAGATTCTGTGTTGACTACTATGCCCTGAATAAGGAGGTTGTGTCAGAAAAGTTTCCTATTTCGATGATTGATGAGTTGTTGGATGAGCTATGTGGAGTGGTGGTATTCACGAAGATGGATTTGAAGTTTGGATACCATCAGACCAGGATGACAGAGGATGATGTCCCGAAGTATGCATTCAGGACACATGAGGGACACTATGAGTTCTTAGTGATGCTGTTTGGCCTCACTGAGCCCCTGCTACATTCCTGTCCCTTATGAGCAGGGTGTTCCGACCATACCTCAGGAGATTTGTGTTGTTTTTTTTTTATGACAACTTGGTGTACAACAAGTCGGATGAGGAGCATTTGGAACACTTGGTGATATTAGAAGTGTTAAATGAGCATCAACTAAGGGTCAACTTGAAGAGTGTTGTTTTGTATAGCCCAATGTGGAATACTTGGGGCATATAGTATCTCAGGAGTGGGTGGTTGTTGATCAGACCAAGATTGAGGCAATGTTGAAATGACCACTACTTAGTAATCTGAAGGAGTTGAGGGATTTCCTAGGGTTGATTGGGTACTACAAGAGGTTTGTGAGGGAATAAAACACTATAGCATGGCCATTGACAGAACGGTTGAAGAAAGATAGTTTCTTGTGAGGAGAGGAAGCTACCCAAGCCTTTGAGAGATTGAACAAGGGACCATGATATAGGTCCTGACCCTACCAGATTTCAGCCAGTTTTTTGTTGTGGAGATTAATGCATCAGGGTATGAATTGGGGGCAGTTCTCATGCAGAATCATATACCCATAGCTTACTTTAGCTAGGTTGAAGTAAGTCTACCCTGCTTATTCCCTAAAGGTGGAGAGACTGCTGTACGAGAGGAGGTTTGTGTTACCATGGACCTCGATTTATATTCCTCATCTTTTGCAGGAGTTCCATGGGAGCGCCGTTGGGGGTTATTCAAGGGTTCAAAAGACGTATAGGAGATTTCCAGCAGAGTTGTATTTGAAGGGGATGCATAAGGATGTAGAGGGGATGCTGGCTAGATGTGAGGTGTTCTAGAGGAACAAATACATGGCTATGACCCTGGAGGGTTATTACAACTTCTAGCTCTTCTAGATAGAGTGTGAGAGGAGATCACCATGAATTTTATAGATAGATTACCTAGATCGGATGGGTTTATTGTGATTTTAGTGGTGGTGGATAGATTGAGAAAATATGCCCGTGTCATCCCCCTATGACATCCGTACATGGCAGTAATAGTGGCAGTGGCTTTCATTAGAGATGTGATCAAATTGCATGGGATACCAGAGTCTATAGTGTATGACTGAGATAAGGTGTTCCTCAGTTATTTTTGGAGGGAGTTGTTCAGACTGCAGGGGATAGTATTGAAGAAGAGCATCACTTACCACCCCCAGATGAACAAACAAACGGAGATGGTAAATAGGAGCCTTGAGACGTATTGAGATGCTTTGTTTAAGAGACATCTCTGTTGTGGGCCAAGTGGCTGGCATGGGCATAGTATTGGTACAACACTTTATATCATTCGGCTTTACATATGACTTGTTTCAAAATGTTCGACCTTGCAAACAATGGAATGGAGAGAAAGTATAATTTGATGGAAAACAAACAGTACTGTAAATTGCATGCAGATGACGACAATCAATGTGTAGTGTTCACATGAGTAATGTAAGAAAATATAGAAGTCTCTACAATCAACAACAATAGACATATTGCAAGGATGGCTAGTTCTCTGTGAACACAGATATACACACAAAGTATCATCTACGTACAAAGGCCATGTATTTGAACACATACAAAGCATCTACAAGTTGTTGTAGCAAAAGACAATGAATATTGCAGCATCCTCACAGTCAACGTTAAGCATGCATCTAGCATGCATACGAATTACTACGAGCTGCTATAGGAGACTCCTTGTTCATGCAGTAGTCCATCTACGAGTGATGGCTAGCGACATGTAGCCAATACAACGAAGCCTTTTGCAAACATGCCCAGTGCAACGCATAATGAATGTAAATACCCGCTAGCAACAACGAAAGGTTCTCCTTATGCACAATAATATGTCTACATGTGATGATCAGTAGCAGGCAGTGAATGCTGCGATACTCTTATAGTCAACAACCATCCAATGGAAAACGAATATTCAGATCCCTTGCAAGCAAAAGGTGATCGATTGGCAACAAATGCAAATGCCTAGAGGCCCTTGTAGGAGACTCGTCATATACATTAGATGTCATCTACCAGTTGTTGTAGAAGACTTGTCATATGCACAACAAGCTATCTATAAGCAAACACAGAAGCTTGTAATGAGTGCAAATATCAAAAAATAACTACAGGAGATTCTTTACCGCATAATAATCTACTTTGCATAAATCAGCTACGACCTGGCTATGAGCAAAATATACATTGAATGCAATCCATTTGGATGCAACAGCTGACGACTTCTGAATGACTGCTAATGACATACTATCGGCGAAAAAATCTAACAAAGTTTGCAATGCACAATTGCTCGCTCGTAAGAAGCAATGGGCGACCTATAACATAATGCTATAATTCACCTATAAGTAGAAGCATTCAATTCGTAATAAAAATTGCGGGCCATTGGTGGATTGAAGCAGTAAACTTACGGTGCTAGGTCATCGCACCAGACAAATCAGGTTACTTGCAAATGACAGGTGGAAGACATCATGCAGTGTATTTGTAGGTAGAAGTACACCTTACGAGTTGAACGTCGAAGAAAGTAGCGACATGTAGTAGATGAAATGCGTTAAGATGCATTGTCGATACACGATAAATAAAGCCTAGCTCTGCGATACGCCATTGGATCCGCAACATTCGTACAAGCGGACATAAGGCGTTTTCAGATTCCAAAATGAGGCTTTGCATGCTTGTTAGCGATGGTCATTTGCGCAATTGATAATTACAAAAATACCTCTAAACTTTGAAATGAGCGATAATGCATTTACATTATGCATATATGTATTGTAATATATAAATGCATCATTCAAAATATATGCAAATGCATACACCCGTATGAGCTCCGATGAGTGTACATGCACACACATGACGTTTGAGGTTGCTGTGCGGTTCAAATAATAAATTTAAATTCGAGCCCAATTCTCATATGTGAGTAAAATAGGAGAAGACAAGGCTCAAACTATAAAACAAATATACGACGGCGACATCTTTTGGGATGTTTGTTTTATACATTCATTTTAGGCATTCAAAGTCTATAACAAAAAAATCACCAATAATGGCATAAAGGTGACGACGAACCTGATCCTTCATCGGCAAGTTGACAGAGTTGACAAGGTTTAAGTGAAATTGTCCGTAAATATCCTAATAGTGGCCATGTTGATAGAAAATCTCAACCGGAGGGGACCATTAATATTTAAAAATACCTCCCAAATTCCCCTGAAAACTCAAAATTCCAAATAATACTAGAACCTAAGATATTTAAAATGAGATGAATCATCAAACACTTAAAGCAAAATTCATCCATCATTCACAACAGTTTACTGAGGTGGACAAATATGAAAATCACTTCAGCTCAAAAAAATTCAATGTCTGATCGAGAATATCAATAAGATTCATTTTCAAACAATCTCTGGCTTGTAAGGACGTGGTGCGTTTCCTCTAATTGGTGGTTTCACTACCAAATGACACCATAGATAAATGCTTATGACTGGGACCCTCTGAATCGGGTGGTTTTACTGCCAAATGGTACCACTAAATTACGGTCATTGTCAGAGCCCACATGTTCTTTAATGAATTCAAATCCTTGAGACATGAATCAATATGATATAATCGATTAAACACAAAGCCTTTTGTTAATTAAGATGGATTCAAATTTGTCCCCTTAGAAAAATAATCACCCCAGGTCTACAAGGTACCCTTGGATGAAACAACCCATCACTGCCAACAAGGATTGTTATGTCAGGTTGGGTCTATTACCTCCTCTGACTAAGTAGATCAGGGATCAGGATAGCCCAAGATGACGGAACCATGGGATCTTGATCGAGTTCATCATCATTCCCCCACCATTCTCTTTAAGTAGGAGGTGGTGAAATTTTTATCTTTAAATATTAAATGCTCAAATATCTAAATCATGCTGCTACTATATGCCAGATATTTTGTATCTGTTTGATGACTAGCCTTAATCTAAAGTTCTCTCACTATCGGGAGGGATAATTAACTATAGGGGCTTGCGCCTATATGAACATGAACTCAGATCATAAAGTCCTCGCAAAATGAGGGCGAAATCTTTGGGTATCGTCTTATTTAAAACCCAATATATGCCTTCTAAAAATTTGCCTTTGAACCTACTTGTTAAAACTCTCCTCGAGAAAGAAAGAAAGGGTATGCGGAGAGGCCGAGGCGCAAATTTTCAAAGCCCACAAGAGGTCATTTATATATTGTGCAAATGTGTTTGACCTAGATTTTATAGTAGACCAACATGATTTATAGGCTTTTTTAGGTTGATACCTGTTGGCTTTGAATGAGTGAATGTCATGAGGGAGGTGGAATGTACCATCTGAAGAAATGGAAAACATGCCTTTCTCATGGGTTCAGTGGAAGACCAATGACCACATATATTTGTCAGATGACGTGATTATGATGATTATTTAAAGATATAAGGCATATGGCTGAATCCTTCTTACATACACTGATTGGCTATACATTGTTTTCTTCAGCAATGAACAAACTTCTGCTGCTTCTCTTGATGCCATAAAGAACATTGCAAAATCTCCTGAAGGAATTGTAAGTATTCTACAGCAATCTGTTTCGTTTGCACTGTTCAACAATAATGCAAATTTCCATTATTTTACTTGATAGTAAAACTGCTTTCTTGCTATAGGATGTTATCTTTCCGTCTAGCCGTGATGAATCAATGCAACTGAAAAATATAGCAAGCAACTGTTCTTCTATGGTATGTTTTGTTTTATCTGTTTTTTATACGGTAGAAGTTTCTGTTAAGGATTTCTATTACATGCAGTCCTCTTTTCTCTATTTTGTATCATTATTTTCAGCCACTTCTCTAATTTCTTAGAATGTTGTACTTGCTTCTGTGTAAATATTGTACATTCATCCAAGTTTTATCATGCTTTAATCTTCGCTCTTAAAATGCATAAATAATGTTTCAGGCCCGCATTCGTATTCTGGCTCTGATCAAGGAACTGTTCTCTCTTTCTGATGATATTGCATCTGTAATTTATGCTTCAAACCTGTTGGAGCTTTTTGAAGTTGAAATCAGTGGAAGAAATGATGCACTCAGCATTTTGAGTGCTTTGGAAATCTTATATGAGGTAAAAATAAGATGAAGATGGCATGATATTTTTTATGTTTTTTTTTTTTCACTGGTTTAAATTTTTATGAAGTTGGGGGTTTTTGTGGTTATTTTTCATGTTTTGTCAATTTTGCTCTGTTCACTTTTGTTTAGGGGTTTACATAGTAGGCACATAATTGTCAGTATTATTCAATATTAATTCTTGATTTTGAGAATTTTAATGGCCATTTCAAGTGGTACGCATGGGTGCTAATCAGGCTGCCTAACATTGCTGAAGTGTTTAGCCTTCATAGATAATATTGTTTCTCATTGATTCCACTAATTTGTTATGTGCTCTTATGAATATTAATGTATTATGCTTGGTGTGGTGTTTTTACACTTTTTAATGCCCATGAAAGTGAGGACTTATGATGTAATTAAAAGGAAAATTAGCCTCAAATACTAGATCTAAGGCAAAAATCACCTGTATGCTATAATTTGGATATGAATCTTTTGAAATGCATAGAACTTAAAGAACTTAAAACTTCACTTGAGATTAAGTCGACTCTAACCATGGTTTTACAATGTTGCTTGAAAATGACGATCAACTAAATATTGAATTTGTATACTAAGATCCATAAAGTGGCTTTACACATCATTATTATTTTGAAAGTTGGTTTGCTTTTTGATAAGTTATAGAAGTTTATTTGAAAAACATAATTCTATGGTTGAATTTAAGATTGTTTATATTTTTATAGGTTGAAAATTTATTTTTTTTAGAGCTTACTGCATAAAATATCAAGACCACGCTCAAGCAAATTAATTGAAGAAATTTAATAAAAAGTTTGTATTTCTAATGTGCACTCAAAATAAATAACCTATCTGCTCTGCTTAAATTAAGATGTGAGCATATGCTTTATATGCTTAAAAGCGTTCTTTGTCTATATAATGGCAAGGGCGGTCTAAAATGGATTACCCAGAGTGGTGGGCCAGTTAGAAAAGAGTAGAAAAGAGGGGGAATGAATATCAGATCTTCTATATCTATCTCAGATGGAAATAAATGGATACCAGGTTACCTGCTTTGCGGGGGTGAATTTTGAAACTATATACAATATTAAGAGGAAAATCTTATTTGCTTCAAAGTGGATAGAGAGTAAATGAGAATCCATAAAAAAATCAAATGTATTTGAACTTTCCAACGTTACATAACATTCTATGTTGAATTTAGATGGATGTGAAGTTCCTTCTTCAGCTTGCCTCAAGCTTTCATTTCATTTTAATGTTTGCCTTGCCTGCCCACTGTGTAGTGCGCTCACCAAGCTTAAATACAATCATGTGAGTGGAAATTAGCTGCCCATTCTCTCTGTCAAGTACGTGAATTTATAAGTGGAGCTGGTCATTTTCTTTTGAATTTTGTATAGAAGAATATGATCTCCTAAAGGCTTTCTTCCTAATTCATCGGAGACCAGCTGATTTTTCATTAAACCACTCCTTGAAAGAAATAAACAACAAACTTTTTGTCAGCCCACTAATAATGTAAGTCAAGGGGAATGCCCTAATAATTCAGGTACTTCACATACAGGTTCACTATAAAATAGATACCACTTACGGTTGCAGTCGAAAATCAGACAATATGATGGACATAACACAAATAAAAAGGATACCCACCCTGAACAAGAAGGAACAATATATATGCCAATAACAAGCCAGAAAAATAAAACATAATCTAATCAAAGAAAGGCATTTAGATACTAACGAGAACCTAAAGTTTGATGGGACAATGACACCTATAAGGGACAGGAATAATAATCAACCATGAAATAATACATAAGCCTTTTTGCAACAAACAAAATATAAATTATAGTTGTTGACCTCAATACTAGTGTTGCGGTCGGGTTGACCGCACATGATTAGTTTCGAAAGTAAAAGAGCGCGATGTCGCACAAAACTTATCCAATGCACGTCAACCAAAATTCCAATTTGTCGAAATGGCATTTGTTAACGAAACGGATAGCACCAAGGCATCCGGGGACACAAAAAATAACTAAGATTAACACTAATATTGGTCGGGGTTGTCGATTTTTGCGCTCGCGAATTGAGGCAGTATCGACGAGCGTGACAATGATAATGCCGACGTGACGATCGAGTCAAGACAAGTAAATAAAAAAAGTTCATATCAATTTTATAGTTAAAATTAATTATGAATAGTAATTAAAAAAAAGAAGAATAAAAAAAAAAAACAAATACCCTCATGTAAATCCCTCATGACCCAACAGTCCATCTCTCCCTCGTGACATATCCTCACACGACCCAACTTACGTGACCCCCTCTCCTTCTCGGCTTCCGCTCTCTCTTGCATAAACTAGCCGCTGCTAGCCGTCCAAGGTAACTTCTCCCCTTTCTCCTTTTACATCTTTTTCTTTCTTTCTCTTCCTTGCGTCCTCTTCCATTTTTTTTCCTACATCATTTTCTCTTCTCCCTCTCCTCCTTTCCCACCATCTTCTTCTTTTATCTTCCTAAACCTAACCCTAATCCTAATTTTTCAATTTTTTTCTCCACATTCCTTAAATACTTATCATCTCTTCACAAAAAAGCTTCCTAAATATCTCCTACACCCTCCACACAAAAAAGCTCCATCATTCTTCACTCTCTCTAAACCTAAAGAGAGAAAATTTTCTCTATAGAAATAGACAAAATTCATAATTTCTCTCTTCAAACATTTCCCTCTCCATCATTCTCCACATTTCCCTCACTAGAGAGAGAAAATTGTATCATTTCTTTCTCTCTCTAGTTTCATTCTCATAATCATCACCCCTACACCATTCCCACCAAAACCTAGCCCATCCCTCTTTTTCCACTCTCTTTCTCTCTCTAGAAAGAGAGAAAATACTCCCATGAGTAAAAAAAATTAATTAAACTAAAATCGTGCATCGGAGGTATTGTTATTATCGCTATCACCTTAACTTTGTTGCCTTCACCGCCACGTACTTTGAGGTATAACCCTGACACTAATATATTTTGTGTTGCAATGCATGGAAATGAGTACCTGTGACATCCTTTCTTGACAAGCGTGAAAATTTATATGCATGAAATTAAGTACTCATAAATGCCTTTCTTGGTTGGTGAGGAAATTTCCTTGCATGAAAATAAGTACTCGTGACCACCTTTTTTAATAGGCATGAAAATTTGTTTACATGGAAAGAAATATCCGTGACAACCTTTTTTGACAGACAAGGAAATTTTTTTATATAGAAATAAGTACATGTGATGCTTTTCTTGGCATGCGGGATAATTTTTTATATATGAAAACTAAGCATCTATGATCGCTTTTTTTGGCACGGAGAAATGCTATGCTTTGTGAACAGGTACTTGAAGACCCGTGACTGGTTTTCTTGGCAGACAATTTTGGCCGCGATGTCACCTGACACATTACGTGATTGCTTTTTTTGGCAGGCGACAAGCCTAGCATAACCGATGTAGTCCCCTACGCGGGGATGACGATTCTTCCTAAGGCGACGTCGACACTTTATACACTATCACTTTATCCAAATTGAGCAAAATTGTGCCTCATTTGGGAAGTAGTACAAAAGAAGATGATATCATTCCTGCTGAATCCAAGAAGTCTTGCAAATTTTTAGTAAAAGGTAAGATGAATGTGGAATATTCAGATTTTGTTTATGACTATGAGTCTACCTAGAATGTATCTTCTCAAGCAAAATATGTGACATGTCGAGCTCGAAAAGCACATTCATGGGTACATCTTTCCCTCCACAAGATTTTATAGAAATTATCCCTCATGAGATGCATAACGTCGAAGAACTCAAAACGTTTTACACACCTCCTTTAAATAAGAACATTAGGCCAGAGAGTTTATTCTACAAGCTTGACAAGCCAATCAAAATTCTCTTCTTGACATTCTCCAATTTTGTGTAATAGGGTTGCATCGGGGTGTGCTAGGTCTTCTCGCCTACTAAGAAAGACAGTCACAGTAGATGTCAGGTGACACCACGATCAAAATTTTCAATACCTACCTCTCCAAAAGACAGTCACGGGTCTTCAAGTATTTTTTTATAAGCATAGCATTTTCTTGCCTGCCAAGAAAGACGATCGTGGGTATAGTTTTTCATATATAACAAATTTCTCCGCTTGCTAAGAAAGGCAGTATAAGTATTTTTTTTCATGCAAACAAATTTCTCCGTCTGCCAAGAAAGGTGGTTACTGGTATTTATTTTCATATAAGCAAATTCCTCCGCCTATTAAGAAAGGAGGTTACGGATACTTGTTTTCATGCAAATAAATTTTCCCGTCTGCTAAGAAAGGCGATCATGGGTACTTAATTTCATGCAAACAAAATTTTTTCGCTTGCCAAGGAACACGGTCATGGGTACTTATTTTATGCGTTGACCTCAAGATGTGCGGTGACGATGGCAAGACGACAATGATGATGATGATACCTGCGATGCACGAATAAATTTAATTTAATTAATTTTAGTTTTTTTAAATTATTTATGGGATGGAGGCTAGAGACAAAAAGAGAGGATTTTCTCTCTTTCTAGAGAGAGAAAAAGAGTGGAAAGAGAGATATAGGTTATGTTTTGGTGGGAATGTTGTAGGAGGGTGATGATTGTGGGGAGAATTACGTTAGCGAGAGAAAATATCTCTTTCTCCAATTTTAGAGAGAGAAATATAGAATGGAATTTTTTTATCTCTAGGTAGAGATAAAGAGGGAATGAGGGTGAGGAGATATTTGAGGCAGGGGAAATATTTGAAGAGAGAAATTATGAATTTTCCATCTTTAAGCCTAGAAAGAGAAAGTAAGAATGATGAGGTCTTTTGGTTTGGAGGGTGTAACAAGTGTTTATGAAGCTTTTTGGTGAAGAGATGATAGGGATTTGAGTAAAAAAAAAAATTAGGGTAAGGGTTATGCTATGTTGCACTGATGCGAATACGGCGGCATAGATACGACACGATACGGATGCAGGATACGTTGATTCTTAAAAATACTGGATACAGGTATGGCCCGGACACAACATTATAATT